CCCCAAAACCCCAAAACCCCAAAACCCCAAAACCCCAAAACCCCAAAACCCCGTTGGCTGAGAGGGGTATTGAAAATTAGTGAAATTAAAGAGAATGAGGTAGTTATACTCTAAACCTGCTCTTTCAAGTATTCGACAGGGCGCCTTCAAACAGGGCATGTTTGATATTCATCTAGCCACGTTTGAATTCATTCTTCATGAAAAGCATGACCTCAGAGCAAAGCTTTTCTTGCTTCAGACTCAAATCCACTCAGACATATAGCACATTCTATACAATATTTGGTTTAGACTGAAAGATCGTCAGCAATTGTTTACGTAATGCAAGAAATATTCTTGTTACTTCAAACAAACAAACCACAAATAAGGTGAATTGAGGTAAGATAGAAAGCTAATACAAAGATAAAGATAAATCTATAATGAAAGTATCCATACCTAGATTCTTGATGTATTTTGCCTTACGATCGACGCAAGGAATATAATGTAGCATCTGTCCTCTGTTCAAGACCTCCTTTGGTAGATTCCCAGAAGCTATACCATAATTACCCCTGCTCAAAATACCCTCAATAGACTTACACTCCTCAAGATCTACTTCATCAGACCTATTTTCACTTCTCCGCTCTCTCATCTCTTGCTCAGTCTCGATTTGTCTTTGTCTTCTTTGGATAGCTTCTTGCTTGATCTTTTCTTTGTTAAAATAGAAACTCATGAGAAAAGCAGGAGCTACAATCCAAGTCAGTGGATTCAGGCATGCAAGCCACTTGCAACGGTAGCTATGCATTAGGTTGTCAACAATAGCGTATGAGCAATAAGCGAAGAAATAGCCATAAAGAAAATAGCCAAACCAAAAGAGAAGATCTTGTTCTGTGTCGATGAATGGTGTCATAAACAAAGTGACAAAGAAAGGTATGGGAACTAGAGCTACAAGTCATCAGCAAGGCGAGTCTTCAGGGTCACCATAAACCCTATCTCTTGTGTTGAGTATAAACATGAATGGCGAATAAAGGGTGGCTATAAAGCAGAAGAAAACTATTTCTAATCATCTGACTTTTTCCGCAGTAAAGTATTCGTCTTTCTCTACTAAAAGATATCAAACTATTATTCCGAAGAATTGGTATAAGTGAACTCAGAGATACAACAAGATTGTTGAGAGTGAGTTCAAAATCATCCGCCAAGTAATAAACAAGATTACATATGCTGCTGAAAGAACAAAAACTGAATGCTTCCACCTTTTTGAGGAGATCATGCTCATTAACCGTGGCTTAATGTAGTTCATTTTCACTTGAAATTATAATTTTTGCAATAGTTCAACTTTTCCGAAAAATAGGGGTTTTGGGGTTTTGGGGTTTTGGGGTTTTGGGG